TTTCAGCAGCAGTCGTCTCTTCAGCGGTTGTAGTTGCAGCAGGAGTGGTCTCTTCAGCTGTAGTTGTAGTTGCAGCAGGAGTGGTCTCTTCAGCTGGAGTTGTAGTTGCAGCAGGAGTGGTCTCTTCAGCTGGAGTTGTAGTTGCAGCTGGGGTAGTCTCTTCAGCTGGAGTTGTAGTTAGCGCTTGTGTTGTAGTTTTTGTAGGTTTTTTCGTCTTTTTGGAAGGGGTTGTAGTTACTGGTTTGGTTGACTCTTCAGCTGGAGTTGTAGTTGCAGCAGGAGTGGTCTCTTCAGCTGGAGTTGTAGTTGCAGCTGGGGTAGTCTCTTCAGCGGTTGTAGTTGCAGCAGGAGTTGTCTCTTCAGCTGGAGTTGTAGTTGCAGCTGGGGTAGTCTCTTCAGCTGGAGTTGTGGTTGCAGCTGGGGTAGTCTCTTCAGCTGGAGTTGTAGTTGGCGCTTGTGTTGTAGTTTTTGTAGGTTTTCTCGTCTTTTTGGAAGGGGTTGTAGTTACTGGTTTGGTTGACTCTTCAGCTGGAGTTGTAGTTGCAGCAGTAGTAGTCTCCTCAGCTGGGGTTGTAGTTACTTTCTTTGTTGTCTTTTTTCCCGAGCATTCCCCACCGTACAAGCAAGTCTGTCCATATGGGCAGTCAATGCAATCATTGAAATACTCTCCGATACAGCATGCTGTTATAATTATTTTTCACTTTTATTTATAATAAATTTCTTACGTTTTTCATATGAATCCACGCAAACAATAAAACATAATTGAAACAATATAATTGCTATCAACTAAATTATTTAAATTTTTATAATAATTCTTAATTAAATTAACCTTCATTTTTGTTGATTGTTGAATATCTGATATTTACTTCTTGATTTTCTTTGCTTTTATATCAGGGTTACGATTCGTACTTTATTTGAAAGTACAGTACTTTAAAATCGACCTCCGTACTTACAAAAACGAATTTGTACTTTTTTGAAAGTATGTACTTTTAAATCAACATTTTGGATTGAAAATGAAATTGGGGAAAACATTGGGCAAAAAAGTGAATTTTTTTGGCCTACGGCCTTCGAAATTCTCAAAATTTTCGCCTGCGGCGCTGAAAAAGGAAGAAATCTGGCTTCTTGGGTTCCAAATTTCAAAAAATTTTCGCCTGCGGCGCTGAAAAAGTGAATATTTTTTGCCTACGGCCTTCGAAATTCTTGAAATTTTCGCCTGCGGCGCTAAAAATCAAAAATTTTTGGCACCTTCGGCGCCAAAAATTTGGTGCAGAAAAATTTTTTGCCCTTAGCCCCCCCCCCCCCCCCAAAAAAAATTTTTTTTAATTTAATTTTGAGTGTACTTTTTATTTGGAAATTGAGCCCCTGTGTACTTTTAAATCGAGATTTTTGTACTTTTGATGGGCACTTTGTCGATCGTAACCCTGTTTTATATGCTTATTTAAATGACGATATTCTTTGTCATCCCTACGTGGCATTGTCAAAATTTTTGTTTATTAACATTAGCTACTCTTCTAGCTCTTAAGGAGTATTTTTTTCAAATTATTTGTCATTCTTTATTTTTCTTTTCCTTCCATCAAAGATTAATTTCTCTTCATGTCAACATAATTTATCCAGCAACAATTTTTATTTTTTTATTTTAATTTTCACTAATTTACTGCCCCGTAATATTTTTATTATTCATAACTTTTTCTGAATTTTATGTATTTTATCATTTGATTTTTTTATGTTTTATTTGTAATTCATGTGATTATTTACTTCGAAAGACGTGGCGATTAACGTTGCAACTATTTTATTTTTGTTCCTCCTTCATTATATTTTAAAATTATTTTTTAAATGTCTTGGGTTGTTTATTTTTCTTATTTAATTTTAAAAAAATTAAAAATAAAATTTTAAAAATATTTCAGGGGTTTCTAATTTGTGGAATGCTTGAACTTGAAGATATTGCATTTAATTTCCTCCTAGCTCCTCCAAATACTTTGGCACAACTTTTTTTGGTACTCTTGTGTTATCTCCCCCCCCCCCCATTTTATTTTCCTTCTCCTTTCCTTTTCCTTTCACCATAAAAAGCACACAGGAATCTAATTAACATACTATACTGTTAAAGAACTATGGCGATAGGTACCCAGCTCTGGTTTTAAGGACCAATGTCCATTATTGTGCTTGTTTATGGTAACTCTGGATGAATAGGACCCTCTATTCCCTCAAAATATTCTGGTGCTACAGTGAACGTATAGAAGTGCTGGTACGCACACAATGTCTTGACATAGATGAATCTATATCTCACGACATAGATTCATTTTGACCCATGTGTATTTTTTAAGAAATAAAAATGAATGCGGAAGAATAATAAAATGGGGGGAGATAACACAAGAGTACCCTTTTTTTAAATATTTTTTGTAATTGGATAATGATAACTCAAAATCTATTAAATCGTAAAAATTTTTTTAAAATTTGAAATATTATAAGGAAGATTCGTCAGGAAACATTTAAGGCGATTAGGTATAGGCTACCAATCTATAATGGGAAAATAAAAAACAAAAGTTGCCCGGCAACTTTTGAAAGAACTAAGAAATAACCATCAGTGGGTCTGGGGGTTATTTTTAGTCCTATGACTTTCATTTAACTTTTCTTATGGTATTGGACAAACTTTTGCTAAATTATTACTATATTTAATAAAACTGTTAGCAATTTCCTGAAACAATTTTAAAGTAAAAAAAATATTTAAAAAGGATTCCTAAAGGAAAATTTTTTTAGCTAAAGTTGTTTAGTGAAGGGAAGGCCTAACAACCAGAGGTGGGTCGGAACAGTCAGAGGGGTCTGAAATCGGAAGAGCCGGAAATCGTAAGTCGGAAATCGGAATTCCGACCCACATCTGCTACCAACCAAAGTTAAGAGTGTACTACTCCTTTTATCGCAAACTTATATTTAGTAAAAAAAATTTTTTTTTCTATAAAAAATAACTTTAATAATTCCAATTTATTTAGCTGTTATTTTATTTTTGTTTAACAATCAAATTCGTAAAGCTACAAAAAATGTTTTGTTTTGGCGTTCATCCGTAGTTGGAATTTCTGCCGTTAGTGGAAATTTAAAAACACAACAAAATGGTGCCAAAATAAATATTCAAAAAGCACAAATAAATGGAAATGAACAAAATTTATTTAAGAAAAATAACAACACAAAGCTGCAAAAAATTCAACAAAAATAATAGAAAATTAACTAAAATCTGATAAGAAGCACAAAATTATAACAAAACAGACACACATTGACCTAAAAAATACTTTGATTTTGCAGTAAAACCTTTTAAAAATATTTAGAAACAAAAATATTCAGAATTCCTGATCCCTTTAAAAACATTCTCAAATAAGATAGCCGCAACCGGAAAAAAACTTGTAAATTCACAAGAATAAGAGACTACATACATAATTTAATAAATATGTAGGTATATTATTAAACGGTAAAATTCCATCATATCACTAGAGATCGGATAAATATTTGAGATATTTGTTTGATGTATTTAAAAAATCAAATTCTTTCAAATATCAAATTAATTTTGATTTGATTTTGCCATTTGTCCGATCTTTACTTATTACGCATACTCTGATTGACAAACAATATGTCATTCGAATAACATTGTCTGTCCGAATCGGAGTACTATTGTTGATATTTCCCTATTAATTTATTTAAAATTAAAATCTTCTTTTTATTTGTAAAATTTATTAAAAAACTAAAAAAATATTTTTTTAAATTTTCAATTATTTTAATTAAATTTATTTATTTCAATTAAATACAAATATTATTCATTCCATAATAAATTGAATTTGATTTTGGAAAATTTATCTAAAAAATTTATTTTACTTTTATTAATTTCATTAAAATACCTGTTTATATTTTTTATTTAATTTTTCAATTAATTCCTGTACATGTTGTTCCCCTCTAGTTTCACAAACAATTTTAACCATAACAGAATGAATATTAGCTGATAACCAGGCACGTTCATGAAATATTTCTTTGATAGAAGCACCTATTTTTGCTATTTCCGCTGTCAATTCGGCAATTCCTTTTTTTAATTTTTATTTAAAAAATAGTCAAACAAAATTTTAATTGCCTCCAGGACGATCAGAAACAACAACGTCAAATTTAATTAGTCGACCATCAACAGCCAAACCCCTTTCAATTGTTCTTCCTTTAACGAGAATTTTTTATATTTTAAATTTCATTTATTACCAAGAACTGTAGTGTCTATATTTCCACCTGTCAGAATTGCCACAACTCTTTAAAAAATAAAATTTGAGGAATTTATGGGATTAACAATATTTTCTTTATTTTTAGATAAATGATAATGACTAGGGACAGCCAAAACATGCAAATGCATGTTTTGTATGCGGATATGCCTTGAAGTGAGAAGCCCAAAAATGGTGTTTTTACATAGGTCCGAGCACTTAAGGACCCGGTTCTTAATGCATATATTTGCATATTTCGGCCCTCCCGTGCATATTTGCATATTTGTGCATATTTTGGCAAATTTTGCATATTTTGGTCCATATTTCGGTATTTTTTGGTAAATTTTAGTAAAAATCGCCGAAAATTTTCAATTTTTCGGATTTTTTTTGGTAAAAAAATTTTTTATAAAAATTTTATAAAAAAATTTTTTCGAAAAATTTTTCGGAAAAATTTTCTTTTGTTAAATTTCTATGCAATAATCTTAATTCCATAAAATCTTCTAAGAATTTTCTTAAATTGCGGGTTTAAAGGCTAATTTCTTGTTTTTTGGCTTAAAATATTGATCTTTAAAGCATATTTTAACAATTTTGGTGCATATTTCAGTGCATATTTTGGCAAATTTTGCATATATTGGTGCATATTTTGGGCTTTTTCGGTGCATATATATGCGCATATTTGGCAATTTTCCGTGCATATTTTGGCTGTCCCTAATAATGACAGTTTTGATTTTAATTTTTTTAAATTTCGTTTTCTCTTTTTTGTTTTAAAATCCCTTTCGCCTACCCCTCATACATATTTAACCTTCCTTTTATAAAATACCTTTTTCCTCTTAAATGGTCAAGCTTTCCAGATACCAAGGCAGCAAGTCCAACCGCGCCTCCTCCCTCCACAACTGATTTTTCTACCTTTTAATATTTTTAAAAATATTTTTCTAATATTTAATCAAACTGTAACAAAGAATTATTTTTTATATCTTTTTCTAACCTCAATAAGACGAAGAATAGCCAAAGCAATAGAACCTTCAGAAACAGTAATCATTTGATCAATCAACCCTTGAGCAATGAGTAAAGCATTGCTTCCTACTGTGGGGACTGATAAACCGTCGGCTAAACTTTGATCTGGAAATAGAGGGTCGTTTGTGCCATTTAGTGCATTAGCGAATGATGGACAGATTTCTGATTCTCTTAAAGGATATTTTTATATAAAATATATTTCAATTAAAATTTAATTAGAATAGATATTAAGAGAAGTTCTATGCTTTTATTTTAGGGGTACATCTCCTACGTTTAGCGTTAATACCAAATTTCAATATAACAAAATCGTCGGTCTCGTTGGGCCTGTCGCACTATATAAAATCTTGAAAAGCATCTTATATTTTTGGTGTCGAAATCTCGTCACGGTCCCTATTAGAGATCGGCCTGGGTTTGGACCAAGACCTGTGTTTTTCCTGTACCCAGAGTCCAGGCTCAGGCATTTTTGACATTCCTGGGTTTTTCCTGGGCCTTGACCCCTATATCCAAGTCCCTATATTTAATTGGAAAAATTATTTAATATTTTAAATACCCAAATAAATTCATAAATTTATTAATATATATATATAAAAAAAGTTACTTTGCCTATAAAAGTAGTGGTAGTTTAGCTACGTGACTTTCAAAAACCTAGAACTTTTTACAGAGTTGAGATATGAATTTGGGACTTTGACATCTTGCTGGGTACTTTTTATGGGTCATCTGGGAAAAATGTTGTTTTTTCAATAATTGCCCCCCTTGGTACCTAAATCGCATAGATACCGGGGATATCTCCGGAACGGATAAAGATAGCGGAAAAGTTCCGCTTGGAGGGCACTGGAGCATGATTTGGAGATGCTGAAACAAAAAAACCCGAGGTCGAAATCCCAAGTCTAAAGGTCGATATGCCTGACACAAAATTGGTTTTTCGGTGAAAAGTCCGATTTTTCGGAAATGACGAAATCCTGGGGGCATATCTTATAGGTGAGAGAGAAATTGTGATTGGCAGGTGAAAAAAATAGTTGAAGCAAGTTTAAACTTGCAGCAGAAGCAAGTTTAAACTTGAAGCAGGGTAAACAAATGAGGAAACACGAAGCAAAGTCGAAATTAGGGATCCGGGATTTTCGGGATTTCAGAGTATGGGTGAGTAGGTAGTCGTTTGAGAGCTGGGAGTGAGGGGAGTTGAACGGGATAAGGATAAATGTCGAATTTTCTTTAAAGTGAGGAAATCCTGGGGGCAAATCTTATAGGTGAGAGAGAAATTGTGATTGATAGGAGAAATTTCGAGTTGAAATAGTGGGATTTCGAAGCTGAAGCAAGTTTCGAGTTGAGGGAGGGTAAGTTGAAGCAAAATAGGGGGAATTCGAAATTAGGGATCCGGGATTTCGGAATTTTTAGGGATTTTGGAATATGGTCGAATGTGTAGTCATTCGAAAGCGGATAATGAGGGGAGTTGAATGGGATAAATAGTAAAGCCGAAAGTCGAAGTTCGGAGTTCGAACTTCGAAATCCGGGATTTTCGGGATCGGGAAGTATGGTCGAATGAGTACTCATTCGAGAGGGGATAATGAGAGGATCTTAGTGGGATAAAGAATCAAGCCGAAAGTCGAAGTTCGAAGTCGAACTTCGAAATCCGGGTTTTTCGGGGTTAGGATATATGGATGAGTGGGTAGTTTCAAGAGGTGATAACGAGGGGAATTGAATGAGATAAAGCCGAAAGTCGAAGTTCGGAACTTCGAAATCCGGGATTTCCGGGATTGAGAAGTATGGTCGAAGTATGGTCGAAAAGTATGGTCGAAAGTATGGTATGGTATGTCGAAAGTATGGTCGAACTAAAAATTAAAAATTCTTTAATACTCATTCAAGAGGGGATAATGAGGGGAGATGAGTGGGATTATTAAAAATATCGAAACTTGAAATGTAGAATTCGAAGTTCGAGATTCGACATTTCTGGGATTTGAGAATCAAACGGATATAGGTGAACGAGTAGTCATTCTAAAGCATATCTAAAGGGGAATCCATTGGGATTAACCAACATTTCGAATTTCAAAGTTTGTAGTTCGAGATTTGGGATTTGAGTCTGGGACTGAAATGGTTTTTCGACCATAACTTTTCAAGAAAATTTTTTAGAATTTTTTCGTCTTCGGATTCGATCTCAGCGTGTTCGGTTTCTCTATAAAACACATTTTTTCTGTCAAAATTAAAAAATTTCTACCCCTCGAATTTTCAATATGGGTAACCCTTATGAAAAGTATTTGGAAATATTTTAAAAAGCATAACTATTTAAGGGATTGAGATTTTTGAATGGGATTTCGATTATAAAATAGTTCTTAAATTAAAAATTCTTTAAGGTAAAAAACATTTGAAAAATTCAAAACTGGAGCCGTAGGGGTCGATTTTTTAAAAATCCAAAATTTTTCGATTTCTTGAAAATTTTCTTGGTTTTTTGTTGTAAGATCGGTGTAAAAGTAGTTTCCCCGTATAGAGCAGATTTTTCCGTATATAATAGGATTTTAAAATCTTCAAAAAAGGATACTTTGGGCCAGTTATGATTTTTTGAATATTTCAGTGATTTTTTCGGCCGAAATTTCCGGCCAAAAATTTATTTTTTCGAAAACCAAGATAGATATGGCGAATGATATATCATTTGAAAGCTCTCATCGAGCTGACTTTAAAAATATTTTTTTCGAAATTTTATGGAGCATTTTGACGAAAATACAGAGGTTCGAAAATTTGTGGGGTGGAGTACCGTATCAGGAGAATTATGGTAGGGAGAGAGAAAAAATGATTGACAGGTGAAATTGGTGGCAGAGAAGCTAAATTTTTCTCCGTCTCTGACCATGCAGGGCAAACCGGCGAAGAACTTAAATGTGAATTTTGTATATCTGGGCAAATTTTGTGGGTGATAAGCTGGATCAGGTGTAGATCCGAATCAGGAGCATCTATTGCTTCAGGTTTCTGCTTCAAGTTTCGAAATTTGAAACTTGAAGCAAATTTGCTTCATGTTTTAATTTTTTGAAGCTTGAAGCAGATTTGCTTCAGGTTTTGAAATTTTTGAAATATATTGGAATTTTTTCACGTTTTTGAAATTACTGCATGTTTTGAAATTTTTAGTTTTGAAGAAAATTTGATTAAATTTTGGTTTATGAAGCAAAATTTGCTTCAACTTTGAAATTTTAGTTTACGAAGCAAATATGCTTCAACTGTGGAAAGTTTTAAACTTGAAGCAATTGCTTCAACTTTTAAAAATTTTGCTTTTTAGCTGACAAAAGTGGAAGGATGAGTCCCAACTGAGGGAACACGAGGGCCGAAGGCCAAGTGACTCTAAGTGGAAGGATGAGTCTCAACTGAGGGAACACGAGAGCTTGAATTTTGGTTTATGAATCCGATTTTTGTGAGCTACGGGGGTAGGTCGGCAGAACAAGGCTGAAAACGGAAAAAGGATTAGGTTTATGTTACTGTTGTAGAACCCAGCGACCGTTGACACCCGCAAGGCGCGTGCCGCAAAACCCCGCGCGAAGCGCGGGGTTTTGCACAAGCGCCTTGCCGACGCTCCATAGGTCTATCAACATAAACCTATTCTTTTTTAATGTATTATTTAATAAATGTACTATCTAATAAGACGAGGGCCGAAGGCCCGAGCTGACACCCATCTAAAAAGGGATGGCGAGGGCCGAAGGCCCGAGCTGACACCCATCTAAAAAGGGATGGCGAGGGCCGAAAGCTCGAGATGACACCCATCTAAAATGAAGGGCGAGGGCCCGTGCTGACACCCCATCTAAAAGGGAGGGCGAGGGCCGAAGGCCCGAGCTGACACCCATCTAAAAGGGGAGCAAGGGCCGAAGGCCCGAGTTGACACCCATCTAAAAGTTGACACCCATCGGCTTCCCCAACGTGGGGAAGACGAGGGCCGAAGGCCCGAAGTGACTCTAAGTGGCATGATAAGTCGCATCGAGGGGAAGATGAAGGCCCGAAGTGACTCTAATTGGAAGGATTAATCCTAAAGTGTCTAAAAGTAAGGACGATTAATCCTAAAGTGTCTAAAAGTAAGGGCGCCTCCCTTTCCATCTTAAAGGGAGGCGAGGGCCGAAGGCCCGAAGCAATGAAAAGGCAGTCTAAACTCTTCTTCCAAGCATCAAAACTTTCTAGCAGCGCGCGAAGCGCGCCCCAAAGCCGATAGGCTTTCCAACGGGTAGAACAAAATTTGACCCAAAGTATCTTAAAGGCACCCAGCTATCCTCCGCCATCAGTGGTCAAACCCACAGCTAGTTTATTTTAATAAAATAAACACAAACATTCCAATAATGGAAACTTCAGGTTTAAGTGTTTTAACAGCCAAAGCAACACCGGCAATTAAACCTCCGCCACCAACTGGAACAAGTATTGCATCAACATCTTTTACCTTTAATTTTTAAATTAAATTTTCTCTCCCTTTAATTCCCCTCTACCTCCTCTAAAATTTCTAATCCAATTGTGCCTTGTCCAGCAATAACATCAGGATTGTCAAATCCATTAATATATTTTTGTTTATTTTCTTGTGCTAATTCATATGCATGTAATTTACATTCTTGGATATTCAAACCGTGTAAAATAACTTGAAATAAAATTTTTTCTCAGTTTCCTTTTTTAAAAACCTTTAGCTCCAAAAGAATCACAAGAATTTATCTTCATTAAGGGGGCACATTTAGGCATAACTACAGTAACTGGAATTCCCAATTGTTGACCATGATAGGCTAAAGCTAAAGCATGATTTCCTGCAGAAGCTGCTATAACTCCAATACGTCTAGAAGAAAAAACTTTTTTTAATAAATACAAAAACCCTCACAAATTCGTCAACCCCTCGATATAAAAAATAAAATTACTTTTGTTCTTCATTAAGACGAATTAATGCAAAACGAGCACCTCGCTCCTTGAAACTACCAGTTACATGTAGATATTCTCGTTTGAGGTAAAGATCGACTCCGAACATTGAGGAAAAGCTTTTGGATCTCTTAAAAATTTTAATAATAAAATCAAAAAAATTAAAAATAATTTAAGAAAATGAAAATTTAGAAATATTAGGTATATTTGGAAAAAATAAAAAAATTCTATTATATCCCTCTAGATGATTAGAATTGGCACTACATTCTATTTTAATAAACTATTAGGGTGTAACATAAATAATTAGCCCCCCATGTGTTAAGTGGTTTAAATAATTATTAAAATTCAACTAAATGTTTCCAGACTTCGAATTATATTTTTTTATAATCCTACGTTAGTTGCCTATTTTCTGGCAAAAAATCAGAATCCTAGGAGTAGGTTGGCAGGAGTTAGAGGTAAAATACAAAAACTTGTATTTTTGAAACAAGACAATTTCTTTTTGATCTTTCTCTGCAGAATTGATGATTAAGAATGAAAATTTAAATAGATTCTGATAGAGCAGAATCTGTTGAATGCGATGATATAAGAAATTCCCCTGGAAAACAACTGGCTGATTTTTTAGAGGGTCGCATTTGTGAAATAGGGGCTAGCATTATGCTGTTTTAGGATAATTCTCGCGCGAAAATGCCTAGTGAGGCCAGGCGACCAGATTTTTTGATGGACTCGATTTATATGGGAATAATACAATTTGGGGGTAATAGTTTAGCCAGTTTAAACTAAATTCCAATGATTACCCCGCCGCGACACCACCAAATACATAACAGATCACGCTGTTGGACTAGTCTGGTTTAGAGGTCGAAACTGATGGTTAGCTGGGATGAGCCGTTCCTTTTTGTTTACAGAATTCATGAAGGCAACCCACACTTCCTTATAGGTTAAAATTTGTTTCAAATAAGGAGCTTCATTGTGGCATTTAAGGGATTGTTTTGCAAAAGTGATTAGTGATTTTTTTGATTTTGCGGCAATTCATGGGGTATCAATCGACCCTTCATAACTTGTTTCCCGCTTCAAGTAAAATTATGAAAATTTTTGTAATTGAGCAGGTGAGTGCCTGCCCCAATATACACATTTTATTTTTTGGATTGGCTTTGATTCAGCGGAGAACGGCATTCTTATCTACCGTTAGTTGGCATTCAAGACGTTCTTTGCCTTTCTGCCCCTCTCTACCTTTCTTTTATTTGGAAAGACAAATTTTTTCCGTGGAATAGAAGATAACATCCCAATACTTCACTTTGCATATTTTGCGCCATGATTCCTTTTCCGAATATCTAAGTTCAATCTCATCTTTGAGGTGAACACTAATTTCTTAATTTTGCCTTGATCTTTAAAAATTCATAAAAAATTTGTATGTTGAGAAAAAATTTCAAATCTTTCAGAAAATGAAGAAGGCATCATTAAGAATATATGACGAAAAAATTAAATATATTCGAGATCTGAACATTGAGATATAAAGTTTACAATGTACATGGTTTAAGGGGGGCTAATTATTTATGTTACACCCTAATACAATCAAATAAGGACAGAAATGAGTCTCCCCCACCTCCTCTCATAATCATTTTTTAAAAATTTTCTTTTGTTTTTAAGATTATATTTCGCTTATTATTGAAGCATTATGTACATATGCATGTACTAGAGATCGGTCTGGATCTGGATCTATTCTAGATTTTTCCTGGATCCAGATCTAGAATCCTGTCTAGGTTACTAACCTAAATCCAGATTCAGAATCCAGAATTTTTGAAAATACCTATCTCTATCTCTTATACAAAATACAAAAAATTTTTAAGTTATCAAACCATTGTGGGTGTTCTAACAATTCCATCCCTTATATTAAACGCTGCTGATGAAATATCAGAAAATTGTATTTTAACCGGTTTTTTTGGATTACATAAAGGGTCCACAAATGCGATAAGTGCTGAACGAGGAGATAATTTTCTTTCATTTACTTAAATTTAAATAAATTAATTTTATGATTTTAATTTAAAAATAGGATGGGTTAAAATAGGTTTCTCTTATTTTTAAGATTAGGCTTTGAGATTTGGTTTTTGATTAAATACAGGCTTTGTTTTGGATAAATTTTTTTAAAATATCACTCATTTCACAGATTATCGGTTCCCTGTTATTTAAAATTTTAATAAAGCCGAAGGTTAATTCATTCCCTTTAAATCCTTCTCCATACCAACTCTACATATTCAAACTTCCTTACATTCTTCTGTAGATTCTGAATTGTCAGTTAAAGAACTAAAAGATTCATTTTCATTATTAAATGAAGAAATTGAGAAAGTTGTTTGAATTGATTCCTTTCCTTCATTTAATTTATTAACTGATAACGCTGTTTTGTTATCTTCTTCTACATTGACATCACCAATGCCGAAATTATTTTCCATTAATTTCAAAAATATTTTAAAATAATCTTATAAAAATATTATTTATTTAAAATTTATTATTTAAAATAATCAGACTTTTTATATAAACAAGTCTGGTGACTTTAATAAAAATTAAAATTCTGTTTGATAATAAACTATTACATCACTTTTGTTAATTTATACGAGAATTATGGTATTGTTAAAAAAATTAAAATGATATTTAATTTTTGGTTTTATATACTAGGACATGGATACGGATTTTGATATCCGTATCCGAATATTTACGGCGAATACAGACGGATACAGGCGGATGTCCGCAGGCATTTTGGTATCATCTGTATCCCTATCCATGACCATGTCTGGTTCTATATATCCTCCAATTATTTAATTTAAATTTAATTACAATTTCTTAACAACCATTTGAATAAATTCAATAGAAACCTTAGAAGTAAATATTCTTCTAATAAAAAAATATGTTTAATCGACAAAATAAAATTTTTATAAAAATTTTTAAATTACAATAATATCGTAAACTTTCTCAAAGAAAAATTTAACAAAGAGGAGGTAAACTTCAAAAGATTTTATGTTGAAATATTTAAATATACAAAAATTGATAATAATTTGAAAAAGAAGATTAAATAAACAAAAAATATAAATATCACATTTTGTGCAATTATTAAATAAATAAAAGACAAAAAGATAAGAAAATTGGGAGACATAAATCTCACGTGAATTTTTTGTATAAATTACCTATTTATTTATTTTAAAATTGTAGTAAAATAAAAAAATTTTTTTAATTACAAATTTTTTTATTTAAATATTGAGAGTGGGAATGTTAAGTTAGACTCAATCAGTTTTAATTCCAATATAAGGAAGGTTTTTGATATGAGGAGAAAGTTCAAAGAACCAAAAGGAATTATTTGGAAAACATTATGAAAACAATAGAATTGCTTATCTATAATTTATCAATTAAAAGAGATACCAAGTTGGGTTAAATTTTATGATTCTGAACAAGATTATGAAGCTAAATTCTTACAGTACAAACTTTTTGTGCCGTTGCAAGGATTAAAACAAACACGATTGAGTGAAGATTGTTGTCTTTATCTCTAAAAATTTTCTCAAAAAATCTCTAAAATCTTACATTAAGATACTTCGATATTTCAAAAATTAAAAAAAACTAGCTATTTATTTTATTTCTATGGCAAAGATTAACAAAAGCCTCTGGCATTACATTTTGACAAGGAATTTTTACTAAAAATTGGACTTGCAGATGTATATAGAAATCTCGTTAACCGCAGTTTATGATCGAGATCTAGTTTCTGTTCAATCTCTCTAATTCTTACACACCTATAAAATTTTCATTAATATTTTCGAATATTTCTCAGATTCATTTAACAATAATTCCCTTCCTTGTTTATTTAGGCCAATGGTAAATGAATAGAATAGATAACAGTACTGATAACAACATATTCAACTTCTGTAGGTTGTAATTTATTTAATGGTTCCATAATATCATTGAATAATTTTTTAGAGAATTTACGTACAAGATTAGAGAGAATTTACGTACGTAACTTAGAGAACTTGTACGTAAATTAGAGAATTTACGTAAAAGATTTCTGTTTTATCTCCTTTATAATATTCTCCGTCGAAACCGTAAACCAAAGAAATACCATTTAGCAGAACTATTGTATCAGTTATTATTAAACGAAGAAAAAGCTAATAACAACAAGTAAAGCGGCATAGTTATCTGAGTTATCAAGAAAACCTTAAAATTTTTAGTATTTATTTCCCTCCTGATTTTGCTTTTCTTTCAATTTTGATGAAAAAAATCAGGTTAAGTATTTTCTATTTATAATTGAAAGGCCGTCTTGATTAGAGTATTTACTTCATTTTAATTATTAGCTCATTTACCTCAGTTTCTATGGAAATAATAATATATAGTACAGTTTTTAAACAATTTTGCTTTGTATTTTAACGCTATTATTTAATTTAAAAATTTAAATAAAATTTTTAAACGAAATTTTTTTTGTTTATTTTCAACTTCTTTAAGTCTGAGATTGTTTAAAAAGACATACAAGAGTAGAAAGTGTTAATTTTCCGTCTAAAAATTCATAAATCTCCATTTAACTTTAAGATTAATTGTATTTATAATTCTAAAAATTCTTGAACTATATTGATCCCTAACACAAAATCAAAAAAGACGAATTTTTTATTAATTGAATTTTGACGCCAATTTTTGGCGATGTTACTTAATTAGTTTAAAAAAATTTCAAATGAGAAATCGCGTTCTCCGTTATGTACAGAATCCAGTAAAATCAGAGTTGAAATTTTTTAGTAGATTTAACAGGACATAAAAATTATTTAAGTGGGTGGGGGAGGGAATTCTGTTTTGATCTTTTATGTATTTAAATAAATCTTGAACAAGTTTAATAAATAAATTCTTTTAAATAAATAATTAAATTGATTGACTAAATTTTAAAAATTAAATTTTAAAATAAAAATTAATAAAAAAATTTAATTTAAAAAATTTAAACACACACAAACGTTAAACATTTCTCTATCGACAGCACTAGTTTCCTTGTATTTTGTGCTTAGTATCAAATAAAGCTCACCATATTCAAACAAAAAAGCTTTTTGGTTAGTCGAGAATTTATTTTAAAAAAGAATTAATATTTTTTTATTTTTTAAAAATTGTTTCTTTAACAAAAATTTGTCTAACAATGTTGTTTATGTTAAATAGAATAATTATAGACATAAGAAATTAATAATTAATACCCCCACCCTTATCTTTAATTAATTATAAATTAAATTAATTTTTAATTCAATACTTTTCCCATTTTTTGCTTTACCAAACTTTAATTATTTTATTAACTTTAAATTTTCTTTCAATTTATTTTTATTAATAAATTCAGTTAACTAATAAATATAAATCTTTTGCAAAATCTAAATTTATAAAATAATTATTTGTTAGGAATCGATGTATTTCTGTAGTCTGTATTTAATTATCAAATTTGGTTCTCCCATCTTTCCTTCCATTCATTTTTGGATAAAAAATAATTTTAAAATTGTCATTACCCACAATAATTTTAGTTCAGAACGAAATAAAGCAATATTTTAAAAATTATTATTATTTAATAAAAGCTAGTCAAACATTAAATTAAAGTAATATTATCCAATAATTCTCTGTCAGTAATTGAATTTAAAAAGGATGCTATTTCTGTATGAATTTATTATTTTCTGAAAAAAAATTTATTAGAATATCTAAATATCTCTTTTTATTTAAATAAATTTAATCTTTAATTCCTCTTTTTTATATTTTTTATCCAAATATTTTACCTTGTTAGGATAGCGTTTTTTATGTACAGTATGGGGGTATTTGTCTGGAAAGTTTCTATAAAATAATTGCCGGGCCTTATGTCCAATAACCAATAATTCTGAATTTATAGAGTGTCTGGAGGGATAAAGAATGTACATTTTTAATTCTGCAGGAAAAATTTAAAAAACAAACTGTAGGGGCTAGAATTTTCTAAATTTTCTATAATTTTTTACATTTGCTAACCAAAAATATAATTTTCTTAAAAAGATTAAATAATTTTAAATTATTTGATATTTACCGTATTTATTCTAATATAAATACAATCTATTATAACGACAGTCTCTAATAATGCGACACCCTAGAAGAGGGTTGAAAATTAAAACGACATGTCGTTATATTAGAATAAATAAGGTAGTCAAGTATTCGACTACAAATAATTGATCAAATAAAATAATTAATATTTATTTGGTTTTGTTATGATTTTAAAATATCATAATTGTAAATATAATTATTTAAAATAATTAAATATATCTTAAATTAAATTAGTACATATAATTATTATTTTAATTTAAATTAAAAAAATTATTTTTAAATATTTAAAACCCATTTTTAGAGAAATGTTTTCAAATTCTTCTAATGATTATTATATAGTAAAAAATAATTCACATTCAATGAATTTTGTAAAATTTAATGAGGAAGATAACAACAACAACAATAATTATGTTAACAATTCATTTCAATCAAAAAATACTAAAAGTTCCCCCTTCCCAACAAAATGTTGTGTTTGTGGATATATTTGTAGTGGATATGTTTATTATAATGTTGTTTGTTGTGATGGTTAGTATTTATGTAGTATTTATTAGGGTTGTCCGTTCTCGAGTCGGGCCGACGGTCGAGGCATTTTTCAGGCTTGTTTTTCGAGCTTGTACGAGTCACTTTCGGGTCAAATATCTTAGGCCCGACTCGATCCTTCGGTCCGAGTCGGTCCATTGTGGGACCCTAGTTAGTACGTAGTAAATAATTATTTTTTGATTAATTTACTTTAAAGGATTTTTTGTAATCCGAACAGAATTTTATTATTTATTTTATTGAATTTATTAATTAAATACAGGTTGTAAACACTTTTTCCGACGATGCTGCAACGCAAAAGAATTATACAAATGTAAAAATGGGGGGAATTGCAATGTTGTGGATGGTAAACTTTAAAAAAATAAATTGAAATTTAAGAATTAGGGCTAACACCAATAAAAAGCGCATAATTGAGAATGTTTATATTTCAATTTCTTCGTAACTATACTATTAAATCCCCGCATACTCTGAACTCGAATTGGTCTATCGAATTATCCGTCCGCATTTTCTTTTTTTCATCCCAAGATGCCAAGATAATAGAGATGCCGTTTTCGGATAGATAGGTTAATTAATTAATAGAAAGCATTTAATTAATATTAAATGCTTTCTTCTTGACCCCTGATATCACTCGATATCCTTAGGAGGTGGAGCCATGGTTTTCAAAAGGTCAGAGCCGGAGCCAATAAATGCCCTATAATACCCAGTGATGATTAAAAAATAAACATTTTAGTAGGAATAAAATGCAAAAGTTGCCGCTTCGATAAATGTATTCTTGTTGGAATGTCAATCCAAACAACAAGAGGATTTTATGCTAAAACTCTAACTGAAATAAATGAACTAATTAAACTTAAACGAAATGAACTTAAAGATAAAGGAAAATATTTCGAAAATGCTTTAGCAGCAAGAAACGAAATGGATATTAAGGTATTTTTATGGAAATTGTCTCAAATTTTTAAAAATCAAATTTTTCTTAAAATTTTAAAAACCGAACTAAAAAAATCCGCATTTTATATCAAAATCCGCAAAAAATTATAAACACAAAAATTGAATTAAAATCACTTTATTCATTATATTTTTTGACTCCAACAATTGAATTGAGCAATTTTTATTACTAATGATCATCTTTTAAAAATTCGCACAATTCAATGAAAAATTACACTTGACTTGGAATAATATTTTCACCATCTTTACTTGTAGTGAATTGCTTACGATAAAAATCTTCCTTTTTGATCCCTAGGCAAAAATTTTGCAGATTTTGGAGGCCATGTAGCCAGATTTCTGAAATTTTGAGGAGTTTGGAAAACCTTAAGTGAAAAAATGGCATTTTATTCTAAAAACTACGAGAAAATATAAAAAAATCCTGTTATCCTCAAAAGACCACAAAAATCCGCAAATCCGAATTTTTTAAAATAATCCTCATCAACCTATTAAAAAACCACAAAAGATTAACCAAGATTAATTGCCATTTAAGGTATTTTGGTGATTGAGTGGATTGCCCTAACTCGCGTTTAAAATTACTTCTTAAAAACTATTAAAAAATATTTATTTATTTTAGCCTGGATCATTTTTAATCACCAAAGACAACTTGATAATTGACTTTCTTATCTCAGTCGAAAGAAATGCACAACGAGTCAGAAATTCAATTACAAGGGCACCTGTTTGGCTTCATAATAGTCCCTATAATTCTATCGAAACATTAATTAATCAAAAACAAAATCTTATCGCTAATAGCAACGAATATTTGGTTTTAAAATATTTAAAATTAAAAAAAATTTAAATTTAAAGCATCAACAACAGCAAATTCTTTCATTAAAAACCATTGAATTTATTAATAAAAATGGGTTTTTTAAGACTAGACCTTTGGCCTTAATATTGGATTTTCTCTTAATTATGGATATTGGAAAAACAATGCCTTTCTTCAACAATCTAGATTTATCTGATAAAGTAAATTTTATTAGTAAAAAATAATATAGCTTTGCTTATAAGTTTAGTTTAGGATAAGGAACAGTGAGGATGAGATATGGAATGGGATATTGTAAGGATGATTCGCCTAGAGCAGTTAAAACGCTTAGGCGGAGGTTAAACGATCTAAAAGGAGAAAGGATTAGTCATTGCCCCGGTAGCTCAATGGTAGAACTCCTGTATGTGGTGGGCGAAAACGCCTAGCAATTATTACGAGTAGGTCCTACCCGATGGCTGAACTTTTGCTAAACTCTTTCTATATGAACTGACAGATTTTTGAAGACAAATGCACGAATATACTAAATTTAATAATTATAAAGCAGTTCTTGGTTACATACCAGTACTTGGTTCCTATCACTCTATAAGAGTTGAGGGGATTAAATAAGCAGAGGGCTAACTCGGGTCCAAATTGAATAGAAACAATATTCGTACGTTTATCTAAAATTTAAAGATTTGCCTTATAACTCAAATAACTTTGCCGCTCTCAATTTTGTTGTCATCTTATTATTCTTACACCAAAAAATATAATACAGTAATTGTGCCAAGTGGGCTTTCAATGGCTTTTGGTTTCAGTGGAGATTATTATAAAGGAGATGAAACGTATAATTTCCTTAATAATCTTTTCCCTTCTCAAATTAATTTTTATAGAATAGCCAAGCTTTCCAAAAAAGTATTTACTGATAGTATGGAACCATTCAATCGAGTACAGCTTACTGAAGAGGAATACGTTCTCCTCCGTGCTATAATTTTTTGTCATTCATTTACTGATGGACTGAGCAAACAAGGAAAGGAATTGTTGTTAAATGAGTCTGAGAAATATTCGAAAATATTAATGAAAATGTTACAGGTGTGTGATAAATTCATGTTAAACATAATGGATAATAGTCAGTGGTTTTCATTTCCAAAAATCGAACGGTTTTTGTTCTGGAACCACTTCTTGAAATCACAAAAACAGACCATCCTCGTTAATGTTATTTTAATCACAGGACAAAAAATTATGTAATACTAAGTTATGTCATAGATTTAGATCTTCATTCCTATTATCGAACTAAGCACAAATATAGAAAAATTTCTCGTGGAAAGATTAACTCGATTAACTTACAAATTTGTATGCCTCTTAAAACTGAAACACCATAGGTCATTAAACCAGACTGGAAACCATCGAACTTTTAAAGGCTTACCAGTTCTGTGTCCTATTTTTCGGAGAATTTGTTTATAAAAAATTCACTCTTACTCTTCACCAATTTTTTACTTTCAGAATCGCCATGGAGAAATTGCAGGTGCTAGAAGATATGCTGAATGTGTTCATTTAGCTGAAATTTGCCTCTACTATGGATACCAAAATAGCCTTTTCCTTAATTATTTGGCTAATGTATACGAGCGTGATCGTTTTCAAAATGCAATGCCTGAAGCTTTTGTTAATATTTGCCTTAGAAACAGAATCAAATAATTAACTAGAAGAATTTTTAAATATAATTATTTTGAATGTTTTTTATTCATAATTAACAAGATTTACTCCATGATCGTCATGGAGTAAGTCTTGTCTCAAATATTTGTCTTGAGGTGCATATTTATTATTTTAAATACGATTAAAACATTTTTTGAGATGAAAAATAAATATTTTTAAATTTTCTGTTAGCATAGGACACACCACAAGTCAATATCTAACAGGCGGATTGGATTAAATGTTATTAAGTGCTATACAGAGGGATTTTATAGATTTTTTCGAAGAGTTTCGTGAGATTAAGTGGAATATCTGGTAATTTGTATGTATTGAGGTTAAATGGATATACATATATTAGTTACCATAATTAGGGACTCACAAAACATGCAACTGCATGTTTTTTATGCGAATAGGCATTGAAGTAAGAAGCTCAAAAATTGTGTTTTTACGTTGGTCCCAGCACTTTAGGTAGGACCCGGTTCTTAATGCATATATTTGCATATTTCGGCTTCTCGTGCATATTTGCATTTTTGCGCATATTTTAGGAAATTTTGCATATTTTGTTCCATATTTCGTCATTTTTTGGCAAATTTTATAGAAATTTGGCAAAATTTTCAAGATTTTGGAAATTTTTGGCCAAAAAAATTTTTTTTTAATTTTTCGAAAAAATTTTTTCGAAAGATTTTTCGGGAAAATTTATTTGTCAAAAAAATTAATATTAATTTTAAATCATAAAATCTTTTATAAATGCTCTTTAAATGCAAAATTAAAGGCTAAATTAGTGTTTTTTGCTTAAAATACTGATCCTTAAAGCAATTTTTCACAATTTTTTAATGCATATTTAGTGCATTTAGTGCATTAGTAACATTAGTTTTTTATGTCTGTCTACAGTGAATTCCAAAAATCTAACACAGAGTTTCTGTTCTAAGTATTTGTCCTGGAAAAGCTGGGGAATAATCTATTGCTCAGTCCTAGAACCGAGAAAACTTTCTTCGCCCTAGTTTCAGTGTTCAGGATGAAGATATTCTCTTCTCATCTGGGCATCTGTATGTCCTCCTTACTTTGGGAAAATTTGATTTAAAATTTTGAAGGTTATGATTCGTAGTATATACTAGAGTAGTACATATGTCGACATCCAAATTCTTTATAAATTTAACGTTAATAATTTTTCCTTTAGCGAAATGTTATTTATAAAAATCTAATATGGAAACCGATAATAATTAATGTACTACAATGATTAAATAATAGCTTTATCGTCAGTTAAAAATGATAGAAGTTCAACAATTTCTGATCATTTTGCTATACTAATTTGACAGAGTTAAAAAAATATTTAAAAAGGAATGCTAAATTTCTGTTAACGAAATCTTACCGAATCCAATAGGATTGCGTTTTTTATCGTAACTTTGCTGTTCAATAACGTTGATTTTTGTGTCATTCGATTCTTTGAGGTTTTCTAATGAGCAATTAGTTGAATTTTTGACTCCAAAATGAGCTTGGTCCAAATATAGTTTTCAATTTTAGGGGCAAAACTCGTTCCACAGGCATTTCTTTACCTAGAGAGCGTTACTCAACTCGAGGGGAGGAATTGAATGACATAAAATCGCCCCCAATCGAATGAATAAAATCGACCCATAAAATCAACCCACTAAACTACATCCGAATAAAATATGACCCGAAAATAAAAATTTAAAAAAAAAGTTCATCACTATCAACTCAGTCTTCAGATAAGCAATGGATAATATTGCATAGCCAATAACATCCAACCAAGAATGAACATCATAAAATTGATTCCGAACCACATTGGGGCCAACCAAATTCCACAGAATTGAGCATTCAATCGCATTTGACTAGGAGGTGCACTACTTGTTCCAACCATGCGTTTTTGACGGTTATTTGTTCCCAAAAATATTTTCTCGATTGACCGTTTATTGCGATGTCCATGTCTTCGCTTGCTCTTTGTGGAGAAACATCCGAAGCATCTAGGTTGTTTTGGTTCATCGTCTGTTAAATTTATTAATTTTGAGAAAATTTTAACTATAAGTATCTAACACAAACAATAATAATAAATAAAATAAACTAAAAAATAAAAAAAAACAAACAACAGCAAGGGAGGTTATATGTAAACTTTAACTCTGCAAAAATTTATATATCATTGGGACTGCCGTTTTCGAGTCAGATCTAATCTCAATGCAATTTTTGCGACCTGATTAATGGACCTCAGTAATAAACAAGGATAGGATTTTTAGGATATAACCTTTTTTCCTGGGATAGTTACGTTTAGAGAAGCTCAAACCTACTTACTGTATTTTTAAATATCTAATATTTTCAGAGCTATAAGCTCAATGCATTTTTAAAAATTAATGTAACAATAATCATTACCGCTATCGGATTGTATTTCTCCCATTGGAGTATGCGGAAGAGTCATTCCTGGGATTTCACCATGAGTTATTCCAGCCGGTTGGCTATAAGATGTTGATGCACCTTATTTATAAAAATATATTTACAGTCAAACCTCACTATAAGATAACATAATAATATATAGCCTCAATTTTTTAAATTCCTTATCAAAAGAATGAGAGAAAAATAGTTTAAAATTATTAAAGATACAAATTACTAAAATTAAGGTCTAAATATCTTTGTTAGCAGAAATTTAACATTTCTCTTTTAAACACAATTGAACAACATACCAGCTATATCGGGAGGGAGAGGCGATTGTCCAGGAGTTGTTCCATAAGGCGAAGTCATACCGGGGGTTACAGCTAAAAATTTCAAAGAAATATGTCAATTTTGTACACATGTGTATGTTTCTATTTATAAAATATTTTTTTAAATTTCGGTCTGAAATTTACAGTATTCCCTTCAATAGACCTTATCTATTTAAGTGATACTCTCCAAAGATCGACTGACACCTTGGAAGAAAATTCCAAATAACGGTTGAATTCAAGAGAGATATTACGAAAAATCTCGATATCGACAACACAGTTTTTTGAATAAGATATCGTCTCTATCCTAACTGAAGTCATCTCACTAACATAGGTAACTTACCAGCTTCTTGCCCAGGCATAAGTTCTGCCAATTTATAATCAAATTCATCTATTTTTCGAGCTAAATAAAACCAGATCCAAATATCCGTATTGAAACTTGACTCCTTTTCCTTCCCTTTTCCTTTACCGCCTCTGGTTTTGAAGTATTTTCTGATATCTCCTTTTCTTTTTACAGCAGTAGTTCTTGCTTTAAAAATATTCTACTATTCATTTATTTATATTAGATGGAGGATATGTCAGATTATATACGTATATTCTTGTAGACTGGATTCCCTTCCCTTACATTGTTTTAGTTTTTTTTGAAAATACGGCAATACTGAATTAATTGAATTACACAAATATATTACCCCTTCTCATCAATCTTTCGAGCCATGATTCGCTATTAATAATTCCTTCCATTCCAGCATTAATATCTTCCTGATCAATCTCCATCTCTTCATCAAAACTAGTGAAATCAAAGCCTCTACATTGCTTCGTAATAATTAAATGTTTGGAAATAGGCCATACGACATGCAATAAATGTGCCAGTCCGTGAATCGTATAATTAACCATTGCCAATCTACCCAATTCAGCTTCCCTGGCTTCAGGCTTTGATTTGCTTAATTATTATTTTTTAGTTTAATTTTAAATTATTATTTGTAAGACTTGAAAGAAGTTAAACCGAATACCTTTGTGTATCTTAGCCACCTGGATCTTTAGACAGATCACACTCTCAATTTAGTGTTTAATTTGGTTAGCTAATTAGTAAGGGGGGTTAGCTAATTAGTAAGGGGGGTTAGCTAATTAGTAAGGGGGGTTAGCTAATTAGTAAGGGGGGTTAGCTAATTAGTAAGGGGGGTTAGCTAATTAGTAAGGGTACATTCAAAATATTAAAAGGGAGGAGTTAGGGGATACCAATGAGTAAAAGGATTTCGATGTTTATTATTTATTCTCTTAACAAAAAAAATCGGGCGAGTTTTGGATATATTTTGCTAGAATAATAAACATAGATTGATGATTGAAGACGAGCGATTATGGGAATATGGGGAGAATATATTGGAGGACCCGTTGCGAGATCTCGGATTTGTCATTTATCGCACTTTGGTTACCATTATACTCAAGAAATGAAGACTAAGAAAGATGAATAGAAATAGCGTTGATGTGAATATCTTTATATTTGAACATTTATTTCATCAAATGGAGAGGGAGATTAGAGGTTAGAGGTAATAATAATAGGTAATATTTAAGGTAACATTCAACAATCATTATCTACTTACCTGTTTTGATTGAAAATAGCGCTATCAGATATAGAACTATCACTGATCGACGAATAAAAATATTCCAGTTTTTCCACCGAATCTGTTATTGGATTAAGTTCCGAATCCGTTATAATTTCTAAATTATTATTAACACGTAAGCCGTGAAAGAATCTAGAATTTATATTGCCCAAGAATTCAGTAAACACATTCTCCTTTGCAAATTCACGTTGTTTATCAGTTGCATCAAAATAGTTCCTTTGACTATAATTTTTAAGTTGTTCAATGAAACTTGAAAGATTATTCATAAATTCTTCTCCATGAATATTTGCATAGTTAAAAAGGCTAGCAAGGAAATGTTTTATGTCCACGCTATTTGAGCTTATATCAATCATAGTTTTAAAATTTTCCTTCAATCCATCATGCCAATTGCTGCGAAGTCTGAATTTTAAGTAAGATTTTAAACTATAACAATATTTAACCTCTAGCTAATGGGTAATAACCCGCCATTCCGAAATGGGCTGATAATAATGCTTAAAGGGCATCGACAACATATTAAAGCAGGGTATTCGTATCTCGAAATTTTTAAAAATCTGCAATTTTGTTCTTAAAAAATACGCATTTTATATCAAAAATCGACAAAAAATTATCAAACACAGAAATTGAATTAAGATCACTTTATGCGTTATACTTTTTGACTCCAACAATTGGCTTGATCTAAGGCCTTCACGGTCTTTACCTGTAGTGGATTGCGTACTCCAAGAATCTTCTTTTTTTTAGCGCCACAGGCGAAAATTTTGAATATACTGGAAGGGTTAAGAGAAAAAATGGCATTTTATTTTAAAAACTATAAAAATATAAGAAACCCTCATAATCTTCAAGAGACCACAAAAATCCGCATTTTTATAATCCGCATCTACTTATCAAAAAACCAGGAAAAATCCGCACATTTCGTAGTCCTGTATTAAAGTGGGATCGTTTTTCCATTTCTTCCCTCTTAAATTAACACCCTTCTGATAACCCTAAGGTACGATGTACAAAATATGCTGTTAAACATACCCTCGTTTTGCTGATCTATTTCTGCACATATTATCCACCCATTCATAAAATTTTATGAAAAATGCATTTGAATCGAATGAACCTCCTTTATATTGGGGAAGACATCGATAGTCAATTTGATCATAATCGGTGAAATATGCGTTAGTTTCTGTAAATTTCGAGTTTATTATGGATAATGAAAGATTTCTTCTAAAGGTAAATAGAGCAAATTTTAACTCAAAGTATGACAATTATTATTTAAATTGTTAACTGGAAGGAGTAACTAATAGGGGGAGGGGGGTTTGAAGTGGGTAGTTATTGTTCTCAGGGAAGGTGTGGGTATTATCTGAACGAGCTCAATTTACTAAATATGTTGATCTATCAGAGAGAAAAAAGTTTTCAGTCTAAAGAGAATCTGAAATCAGGCACAGTTCAATTCCTGTGCAGTGACTAAACTTGTTAATCTCGAACTTGAATTTCCTTTGTTACATTTTTTGTTAAATAAAATTTGCTGTTAATTACCAGTTTCAAAGCTTCGTCCTAAAACAGTTCGGAGAAATCGGCCAATATTATTTGAGCTGATTGTTCTAGTTAAAGTTTCTTTTGTATTATTAATAGTATATTGAAAACGAGTTTCAATTTTAGTAACACGAAATGAAAGCATTGTAGCTAGTATGAGGTTGTAAGAGGCCATTTCTTCTTTATTTATCCAGTCGTTTGCTTGCTCATTGTTGTATAAATTATCGAGAGTAATTACACTAAATAAATAAATTATCTGCAATGTACTAAGTAACGGTCGGGCAAATCTGTAGTAGTACTCGTAGTTTGTTACAATTACGAGGTAAAAATAGATGTATGTGGTACTGGTTAGGAGTAGGAGCAAAATCAGTTTCCCTGAACGTTATGCGAAAACCTATTAGTAGAAAAAAATAGAAAAATAGGCATTTTAACTCTTTTTCTTTAAGAACCAGTGTTACTAAGGATAATAGGCATACTCCTTTACATATCAGTTAAAAATCGAAGTAAGGCATATAAAAGTCCAGAATTTTACCTACAACCAGCTTTGAAAAACATATAGTGCATAGCAATGGATTTGCGCTTAGCCATTGTCAGGTAGAGTGCCATTGTTGGAATATTTTCAATGTTATCGCATTGAGTTATCAATTCTTCTCTGCTTTGAAATTTTATAAACGGGTGAAGAAATATGCTGGGATCTTCCTGAATTTTATTTGAACGTCATTTAAAGTATATGTATTTATTTTTATGTTAGCCTAAATCAAACACAATCATCCCATAAAAACTGGTAGTTTTCATCTCCTACTAAAAATCATCTCCTTCATCTCCTTCTTATAGCGTCAAGCTAAAATGTTTCAGACAGCGAATATTTTTATTTAGAAAAAATCTCGCCAGGTTCTGTGTGCTTCGCTCAATCTCGAGCTCAATTTTAAGTACTCAACGCATAGTAACAGGATCAAGCAAAAGTGCCCTGCCACATTTTTGAGTGGCTGCGCCCTATTTTAGTGTTTTGGAAAGTGTCACCCTGAACTAATATTGAAGAGATAATATGAGTTCACCTCATGTTCAATCGGCTCCGGCTGTTCTTCTGTTCCATAATAAAAGCGTTCAAGTGCAAAATGGTAAACATTATACATATCGAAGTCTCCAGAAAGGGAAACATTCATTAATTGACCAATATCAAGCTCTTTTCCGCTAATAACATTAATTATTTGTCGAATAAGACGCAATTCCTTGAAGTTAATTTATTAATTTTGTAAAATTTAAATTGAATCATTCATTAAATTTTATACTTGATAAACATTTTATGACTGAGCACATTCGAGTTTTTCAAAAACTCTTAAAAGTATTGAATAACTTTACCGTATATGCTCGAATAATTACCCTGAGTAATTATTGTTTCGACCTTCGCTGGAGGGGGTAATTAATCGAGAGGCTAAATTTGGGGTATATCTCAATAAATCGAAGAGGAAATCCATTTATTTTTTGATATTGATTCTTATAATGTTTCAATAATTAAAATTGACAATGATTTTTTAAATATTTTTGAAATTAGACAAAGAAAGGGAGGGGGTAATTATTAAAGAGGGTAATTATTTGAGAGAGGGTAATTATTCGAGCATTTACGGTAGCTCAAATTCTTGACAATTTTTGAAATTTTGGTGAATAATGGAGGGGTGGGGGGTATTGACTAAGCTTTGATATAATCACATTATATGATAAGCTTTTCTTATTGAGAGGCCCTACTTTATACACAAACTTTAATTAACCTCAATTGACAAGGTTGAAATCACTTCCATGTATATATCAAATTTCATATCAGAAATCCAAAGAGGATTATCCTTTCCAGTGTCGGGATTAATAAGTCTATTAAATTCAACTGCAAGAAACACTGGTTTCGTGAGAAGAAAAGCTCTCATAAATTGACGAAAACGTTTAGTTGATTTGTTTTGTTTTAGTTGTTCTAAACTTTTGTTAGTTATTGTAATCAAGAGTAGAAAATTTGACTAGGTTTACCCATTACCCGTCATGCAAGATATGAGACACGGTTTCCAATAGGTCGTAGGATCGATGCCTGCCCGGGTCTATAGATTTACCCCTTTCTTACTAGATATAACTTAATCCTCAAAACCCTAATAATGACTGACATGAGCAATTCGATAGAACAATGTGTAATAATCGGTAGAGGCCGGCAAAATCGTATTTGCGGGATAACTTTTAAAAAAGTAAAGGGTAACTTTTAAGGTAACTTTTAAAAAGGTAACTTTTAAAAAAGTTTGCGGGAGTAACTCCCGCGGGAATAATCCCGTAAAATCCTAAAATCCTGTAAAACGAAAAAAGTGCCGAATTGCGGGGCGGTGTCCCGCAAAATCCTGCGCGCGAACCCGACCCGTGCTGGTCCTTAATAATTTGAAGATTACCAAATGGAGCATCTCCATATTCTGGCACTTTTAGAATATCATCATATATAAATTCCACACATTGAATATATTCATTAGCAACCATTAAAAGTTCTCGGTTTTCATTGTATTCAAACTTTCGTGGAACAAATTGTTTTGTACCCTATAATTTTTATAATGTACGCATATTAATTAAAAAGTTTCTAAGAAAATTAAAAAAACTTCTAGTATGTCCTTAAATGGAAAAATTGTATAATAAATTGTATAATTAAAAATTTGGATTCACTTTTCAAAAAAGAAAGTAGTGAGTTTTTAAAAAAGAAAAATACCACCCTATTTAAATAAAAATTACTAACAAATCCTATTTGGCGGCAAAAATCAAGAATCCCTCCAAAACGATAATGTTCACTGTAAAGTGAAAGTCCTTTGAAAACATGCAGAAGAGCACTATCAGCTTCCCGGTTATAATTGCCATTTTTATCATAACCCTTACATTTGTCCAAATTTTTCAATAAAAAATTCTTGACTTGAGTTCGTATTAGGATGTTGAAATGACTATCTTCAGCACTTGAAGCATTTTTGGTGAATAAAATGACAACAAGTAATGAGAGGGTAAGGGGTTGAAGATGTGGAAATTTGTTTAAGATTTTGTATCTCATCTGGAAAGTTATACATAGTAGGATCTTATTTTTATTGTTACACTTTTCTTTAAAATTTGGTTGGATATTGGAATCTGGTTAGACATCCTTAAAATTTGGTTGGGCATTTCAAATCTCGACCCCGAAGGGTCTACAAGAAAGTTGATCCGAAGGATCTACAAGAAAATATGGATTAATGCATTTTGTTATTGATATTTACTTTATTAATAAATATTAAATTTATTAATTAATATTAATTTTATTAATTTGGTAATATATTAATCCGGCAAATTTCATAACTATTAAATAGAGAATTAAATAAAATATTTAATTAAATAAATTTTTACTAAATGAATCCCCTTAACCAAGGAAAAATAAATAAAAAAATTAAAAAAAATAAAATGAATAAAGACTGGGTAAAATAATTTATTTAAATAAACAACCCAAAAAATTAAATACACTTGTAAAGGCTTTAAAGTCAGCTCGAAATTTCGATTTAGCTTTACTCGTTTTTGTATCCTCCACAGGATTAATAGACTGTTGACTGTGATCTTTCCTTAGACGCTCCTTTCCTTTAAATTAAATGATTATTTACTCTCCTCTTTTTATTAAATCTATCAAGATGTTGACTTAATTGTAAATAAAAATAAAAAATTAAGAAATTAATTAAGAAATTAATAAATAAAAATTTTTATTAAATTAATATTTTTAGAAATAATCACCCTAACCCAAAAGAAGGGCGCAATTGTTTTTTCTATACTTTTTTTCCTTCCTTATTATGACATAATGGTCAGCATTTTCTTCCTCGTTCAATTCCATTATATTAGCCTGTTGCAGAATCACCCCTCGAAAATAAACGTTAAACAGTGATAAGTCTACTAAAAAAATATTTTTTACCACTTATGTTCGGTTTAACTTTTCATTTTTAAATTTGTTGTAAGATAGCAATTGTGATATTTTCCAGAAAAAATTCGGTAGCGATAAATTTTTTTCTATATTTTCTAATCTTTCGAAAGGGCATTTTATTTTAAACTTTCTATTTTTGATTATGCTTCGTATAATGTACGAGCTTATTCGAGACCAAGAATAAGACCGCCTGACTTCTTTAATAACTCGTAAATCTTTGAAATGTTGATTGAAAGAAAATGGAATATAAATTAATTAAACCGAACTTAGCACTTGAAGATGAAGTGTTATTTTAAACCTTAAATCAGAATATTGAAGGTTTCCTTCTGTAAAGCATCTAACTATTTAAGTCCTAAGGCTGTGCAGTAGGCGGCGCGATGTAATGGATAACAATAAGAGTCCTATCTACTGAAGATGCTTGTGCGCTCCCAGCCGCCGGATAACCTTTTGGACCAGCTAAAGCAGAGAAATAGCTATAGTCTAGCTCTGCTTTACTCTTCAAATAGAAAAAATATGCTTTTCAAAGTTCAATCCCATAACAGAATCTTCTTGATAGCCAAATAACTAAAATAAACAAATAATTTTGTTTCAGCAAAATTATATCCTAGTTTCACTCCATTGTTAATATGTATATTACCCTAAATATTCTTTGTAATGCCAAGATGAAAATTGTAAAAAGTAGGATTTGCTCAAAATTTAAAACTATAATTTTGTGACTTTCAACTAAATATAATTTTGTAAATTAAAAATTTCTTTAAAGTAATAATGCAATTTTATTATATACGGTTCTATTTTTTAATATATTACAGTTTATTCAAAATATTTTGTATATATTAAATTACTACATATTTTTCTTCAGTTTCCATCTCAACATTTTATGTATGTTATTGTAGCATCTAAAAATATTTTTTTAAAAAGTAAAAAAATAATAGTAGAACTTGTTGCTCTTCCAACAACCCCGTCTAAGGGTTCTAACCAATCAAATGCCTTTCTAGACAAATCAACATGATTAACTGGGCATTCAGGGCATTCATTATTTATTGGAACTGTTAAGCTGAAATCGAATTAATTTAATTAAATAATTATTAAAATTACGTTTTGCCTTTGTATTCAATTTTTACACATTTATTTATGCAAATTTTATCATTTCTGACTACATGTTTGTCTTCAAAACAAGATGGAATCCATTTGGCATTAGCGTCGAAAAGTACATAAGAAGCTGCTGCAGACATTCCTGGCTAAATTTTTGGAAATAAATTTTAAAAATAATTTTTTTTTCACAAAAGTAACATACAATAGAAGCACTAGAAGTGTCAATTCCACACGCCCCCTCTCCCCCAACACCATAAAAAGTAAATATTCCATCCCTAGGTGTATCCAAATAAGAGTCAACTACTCCAGAAGCATTCTCTTCACTAAGACACATATTTTTTGCGACAGCTCTGTCTGGATCGACAGTTAATGTTTTTCCTCCAGGAATAGGAGAATCTGTTGTATCTTTATTATTATTTCCCCCATTTCCTGAAGATTTGGTTGAAGTTTTAATTTCGTCATCGTTGCCTTTCCCTTTATCATTAGATTTTGTTACTTCATTATTATTTGAGTTTATTTCTGTTGTAGTTTTTATTTTTCCGTTTCCTTTATTTTTATCTGAGGACTCTGTAGTTGTTGTACTACAATCATCATCATCATAATTGTTATTATTTGAATTACATTCAGTAACATTTAGAATATACAAAGTAGGCATCCCATTTCCTTTAATTATTAGACCTGCATCGTCGAAGGAACTTCCAGGCTGGATTATAACACCTTTGGGAGTTCTGTATTTATTGTCTCCGCGTAAACGGACACTTCTGTTTGATTGAGTTACTGACTAGAAAAAATATTTTTTAAAGGAATAAATTTAAATAAATAAATTATATTTTTAATGGGATCAGTATTCGGTTTCGATATTTATCCTAAAATACCGACCGACCCTCTGGCCGATCTCTAATTTTTAATATAGGTAATATTTTGAGGATATAAGGCTTTTTTTGCTTGGCCCTAAACTTGACATTCTTTCCTTTCTTCATAGGAATATGTAGAATTGTACTCTTTTTAATGGTCAGTTGAGGTACACCAGACAGACAGATATACCTCGTAGCTATAGAATCCCGGACACCTCAATATATCTTGATTCATTTGAGCAAGCTAACTCAAACATAGATAATATGAAAGGATTCGATATTCCCTCACAAAACAAGGGGCTTTCGGTATCCTTCTCACCGTTTGAGAGAATTTTAAATAAATTATATATTTAAGGACATTCCCAAATAATTCCAAATTTGTCAAATTAACACAAAAAATATTTTTCTATAATTTTTAACAAAAAAATTTACCCCATGTGGCAAAGAAAGAAAGAATTTAACAGAACATATTGGGGTTTGTCCATTATTTTTAATCACAATTTGGACATTACTACTTCCCTTTTTAGATTCCAAAACATTATAAGAAATAGAAACAGAATTAATTGGGGCTGTATTTATTAATAAAAATTTTAAAGAAATTAAGAAAATAATTAAAATTTTATTAATTATTAAAGTCATTTTATTTTTGAATTATTTTTTGGAGGGATTTTTTAATTTTTAAATTAATGACTTTTTTAAATAAATAATTATTTATTGAATATTCACTTATTTATATAAATTGAAATTAAATAAATAAGCTTAATACGTAATTAAATACCGGATATTTACATTGTAAATTTTTTTAGAAATTTTTAAAAAATTTTTTTTAATTTCTCCACGTGTTTTTTTATTTCTATATTTTAATTTCTCTAATTATTTAATAAAAAATATTTAAAAAAATTTTTTTTTGAATTTCCGCTAATATAAAATTATTTATAGAAAATAATCTTTCTTCTAAATAAAAATCTAATATACTAAAATATACTAAAATATTTATATACATATGTATAAAACAATAATCAAGTAAATTCCAGCTCTAAAATAAACGTGACAAATTTAAATAAATATTAATTTTATTTTAAATCCAACTTAAATATTTTATTAATAGCTTTATAGTTTATAATAAAATATATTTTTATATTAAACGGACCAAACAATTGTCAGGGTTTCGGAGTTCAGATAACTTGTGATATACCTGTTATGTATAAGAAACTAATAGGTTTATCCCCTCCTAGCACTCGCCTGTCGATGATCCATTCAACCTCCATCAATTTTTAATGGACCAACAATAGATGACAACAAAAATTATTTCCCAATTCCAATAAAAAACCAAAAATATAAAATGAGAGATGTAGAACCCCTAATAAGTTTTGACTTTTTATTTCCTAAAATTATGTTTATAATCAAAAACTTCTATCAGACACTTAACTTTGAGTTGACTAATAAATTAGACCAGTCCTGGATTTTTACTTCCAAATGAAGCATTTAAATGTCCTCAACAAATTTAGGTCTCATTAATACTATTTTAACTAAGTTAAATAAACTAACGTTATGAAAATATTTATTAGGGTATTTTTATACATAAATAGTATATAAATACATCAATTTTTGGCAAAATTTTACAAAAAATGACAAAATATGGACCAAAATATGCCAAATCCAATATAAAATATGCATGAGGGACGAAATATGCAAAATTATGTATTAATAACCGGGTCCTAAAGTGCTCTTGGTCACAATATACAGCAAGTTTAAGGCAGATAAGGATACCCCCTTTATTCACAAACAATTTTAAATAATAAATTTTAAAAATTCAATTTATTTTTTATAATTTTACAAAAATTTTTTAGGTAAACAATCAATCATTGGATACTTCCTTTTTATTTTAATTCTGATTTTTCCTAATTCTCACATCCTTCAAAAAATATTTTATTTATTTCTACGTCCCAACACTTCTTTCAACCAATCCTGCAAAAAATAAAAGGATTTTTGGTAACTTTACTATAAGATTATTTATTTTTAAAAATATTTTAACACCATTTTTGGGCTTCCTAAAAAATTAAAAAAAGACAGAAAATTTTTTTAAACAAAATTCTAAAAAAATTAGGGGGAAAATTCAAAAATTAAATAAAAATATTCTAAAAAAATTAAAAATTTTTGAAGAAAACATAAAAAAAATATTTGTCCATTATGAAATCGTAATTAGCTTTTTTATATTAAATAAGCGAAGATAAATTTCCTTATGTATGAAAAAAATTAAATATGTATCAACTTATTGTTAGCCATCCTAGCTAAAGGAAAAATTAATTTTAATATAAAAGCAAAGGATTTACAAAATGTTAGTTTTACAAGAAAACTTTTAAAAATCGGAAAACTTAATTCGTTTTCCGGAAAGTTAAATTTTGATGCGATAGTACCGAATTTTGCTTTACAAAAATTCTGATATATTTCCGGAAAAATTCAAAGGAAAATAAATTTTTCTATTTTATTTTTTTAATAATTATGATTTTTGAAAATATTTATTTTTTACCTTTGTGCATTGATAAATAGCAGAAATTTGCAACATATAAGTGTGCATACTTTAATTGAATTTTTAAAAGAATTTTTAAAAATTTTTATTAAATATTTCCATAAAAATTAATTTTGATTTTAATTTTAATTTAAATTTTAAATAATTTTTAAGGAAAAAATTGTAACAATTCAAAAATTAATTTCCTTTCAAATAATTGTTGGGACACCTCAAATGCCATTAAAATTCCCCAACAATAAGACCAACAGTCATTAATTAACCCGTCGGGCTAACTCAAAGACGGACATGACAAGGAAAAGACATGTCAAGGAAAAGACAAATCAAGGAGCGACCACCTCAAGGACATACCAACTCATGGAACAGACAAGCCAAGGAATAGACAGGTCAAGGAACGATCAACTAATGGAACGACTAAATCATGGAATATTTTTAAAAATCGGAATTTTTTAATTCTGGTTTTTTAAAATATTCTAATTTATTTTAGAATATTTATTTTTTTAAAAATATTCTGATTTTTAAAATATTCCATGATTTGGTAGTTCCGTGACTTGTCTGTTCCTTGAGTTGTAATTTCCTTGAGTTGCCCGTCACCGAATTAACCGATCGAAACAACCCTAATTTTAAATCCAAAATTAATTATATAAGGAAATATTAAATAAAAAAAATTTTCCTTTAATTAAAAACTACCTAAGAGTCCCGTTATATGTACGTCTACGCCACAGAGAAGGTGCATAAAGTTCTCGTTTTTGTTCCTCCTAAAAATTTATTTAATTTGTTAATTAAAATTTAATTTAAACCGTTCTTTCCGAAGCCATCAAAGAAAGAGAAAATTTTTTAAAATAAAATTCTAAAAAAATTAGGGGGAAAATTCGAAATTAAATATAAAAAAATATTTAAAAAAAATTTAAATTTTTTGAAGAAAACATTTAAAAAAATGAAATTTATTTTTCCAATTTTAAACCACAAATTTATGTAAACAAACGACAAAAGGATCGTTAAATTAATTTTTATTTCCTAATTCTCACTCAAAAAAATTTTTCGATTTAATGTTTATTGCTGAATCGTCCATCAAACCAATCCTGAAAATTATCGATTTTTTAAAATTATTGATAATTTTGAATTTCGTCGTCCAAAAAGGGAAGGTGGGGGTTACTGAAACCCAAAAACCGGAATATTTTTCTACTCAAAATCATGATCCGAAGAAAATTCTGCAAACCCTGATTTCACAAGAATTTTTCATTTCTAAAATCTTTAACACAAAATCAAAAAATTTTTTCTCAAATTTTCTTAAATTTAAACAAAAAAATTAAACAAGAAAAACCTTAGCACAACACACAACCGCAGTAAACACCAAAACACTAGCAGTTCCATAAACAACTTTAGGTCCATTTTTTGTTTTCATCATATCAACAGATTTATCGAGAAGTCGACAAACTAGTGGAGTGTACTTAAAAAGAAAAATTTTTTTCATTTTTTGATTAATTTAAAAATAAACCGTTTTACCAGCCATCAAGAGAAAATTATTTTTAAATAAAAATTTGAAAAAAAAAACCTAAAAAGAAAATTAAAATTTAAAAAAAATCTTTAAATTAGAAGAAAATTGCATTTGCATGTTTTAACAGGTAAGTAAAAAATAAGTAAAAAACATTTTGGGTAAAAAATTTACCAGTTTATTGTACAAAGAATTGAAAAACAAAAAATATTTAAGAGGATGAAATAGGTAAATAACGAACAGAAATACATTGACGCAAAAAACGTCCTTTAAATAAAGGGCTATTTGGTCTATATGAAGACTTCCTTCCGTTAGGCCCAACATAGATGTAGGGAACTAAAAATTAAATATAAATTTAGAAATTATTTTCAAAATAATTTTAATTTTAAAAAATTGTGAAGAAAAAATCCTTACGTCTGCAAACATAGTATTTAGCCCAACCAAGCTCTATCCCCTCCATAGCACCAGGAAAGAAATAACCATCGTCATCGGGCATCTTAAAAATTGAATTCAGACTAATTTATAAACAAAAATAAACTTGCCTGTATTCTTGGCTGTAAAGTAACAGAAACAGGCGCTTTAGGTGTCACTACATGTATTCTCATTAATTGTGCCATAATTCTCGGCTTTCTGCAAGGACAAGTCACCCACAAAGGGAGATCAGCATCCAATAGGGGGCCAGCATCTTGGTTTAAAGGCCCATAATCTTTTCGATGTCTGAGAGGTTTTGCAGGTTCACCACACGTGAAACGATGGCCACGAGGACATTCGTAATCGAAACCGACAAAAAGCTAAAATTGTGTGGCAAAAAAAATCAAAAATGATTTTTAAAAAGATCTCATTACCTTAACCTTTTCATTACTTTCTGTTCTACCATGCGCAATTCCATTTTGTAAATTTCTCAAACATTGATCTGTTGGATTAGCACCAATTAATTGCATTTCACGAACCCATCTTTCAGTATTAACCGAGAGTCTTACACTCCATGGAAGTAAATATCTATTTAGAAAAAAGTTTTAAATTACTCTAAAATAATTTATTTTTACTCTGAGCCACTTCGAAAACGTGCTGTCCTATCATGACCACGAATACCAGTTGAATGATTATATAAAGATGAATGGCCTATGCAGACAACAGAGAATGAAGGGAAGAGTGGAAGTAGAGAAGGAGGTGAATTGGTATGAGGTACGTGATCGAGATATTGGCCTTTAAAAAAACTTTGGTATATTTAAATTTTTAGTTTTGAGATTGAGACTTAACCAATCTTTAATTGTCAACTAAATTTCAAAATTTCAAAGTTTAATAACCTTTAAAATTTTCTTCCAATTTTGAATCGTCCATTTTTTCAAGCTTTGACTGTGTCTCTTTTGAGACATCTCTTTTGTTGTCAATATTTATATTTTGTTGTTCTGTTCCAGTTCTTGTCAAATGAGAGTCATATTCATCTAAATAATGTAATTCTGGAGGTTCAGGTGATGATTCTACATCTTCATTATCATTAGAAATACCCATAGTTGATGAACGGACGTTTGAATGAAATGATGTCTGTTCTTGCTTAAATAGAAAAAAAATTATTTTTTAAATAGAAGATGGGTAATTTTGAAGCCAGTAATTTAGAAGCAAGAAAAATTAAAATCCTCCAAACCTCCTCAATTTCAACATTCATTTCTCTTTCTTCCTCATCCTCCTCATCATATTCTTCCTCCTCCTCTTCGCTAACTTCTTCATCGGATATTATTACATTCTTTTTTCTAATAGGTTCATCTTCATCCTCATCATATTCGTTTTCACCCAACAATAAAATTTGGCTAGGATTTAATTTTGACTTTTCTTTCTCATCTTCTTGTGATAATTTAATTTTATTTATTTTTTCTCCAATTTCTTCACCACTTTCTTCATCATCTCCCTCGTCAAAAAAACGAACGTTAAAATCACTTGGATCTATTGCCAAACCCCCACCTATTTCATTTGTGGCGTCAACTTCCTCATTATCTTTAGATTGAGGATTTGTTATAGTTTTCTTTTCATTTCCTATAAAATAGAAATTATTGGAGACAAAAAAAGAATTTTTGTTCGTGGAACGACTATAGAATCATGATAAGAAAAAAATATTTTTCAGTTTCTAATACTGGAAAACCTCCAAAAATAAATAAAGTTGAAAGGAAATAAAAAAATAATTTATAAAAACCTTGCATTGAAATTACATCCGAATAAGATTTTTGTTTAATTGATTCATTTAATTTAACATTCCCCTCAAATTCCTCAAGTTTATCAACATTTTTTGATTCTAATTGTGCAGTGGATACATCAAACAATTTAAATTTATATTTATCTAAATTTGCACAGCAAGAACCAAAATTAAAATTATCATCCCCTGTTTCGTTGTAAAAAGCGAAATTTGCTTCCTAAATTTGAAAAAATTAGATAAAAAATAATTTTAAAAATCTTATTAAAGACAAAAACCTTCAAAGTAAAAGGATCATTTCGAATACGCCGAGACATTCCACAGTTGCACAATGAAAATATTTTTACCCCAGAACAGTGTTGACTTTTAGATTTTGGTTGAAATTTTTGATGTTTGCGTCCAGTACTTCCACTTCTATCTCGGACAATTTTTAAATTATCATCATCATCGTCATTTTTCATCAACTCATGATTTAACTTAAAAACATAAACTTGGAGAAAGACAAAAAAGATGGGATACACCCCATTATACCGCGCTCATTATACCGTCACAAAAATTTTTTATTATTCTGATGGGGGATGTTAACAAGTGACGGGGTATGTTATTCCAATGACGGGGGTTGGTCCGTCAACGGGGGAAGTTCGAACAACATCCCCCGTCATTGGGTCAACATCCCCCATATAAAAAATTTTTGCGGCGGTATAATGGGCTCGCAGTAAACTGGGCGTCGGTATAATGGCCTGCTCCCAAAAAGATGATCAACAAATAATAAAATTCCATAAAATTTGAATTTTAAAACAAAAAAAAACAAACTTTAAAAGCACAAAATTGTCCTGTTAAAGAACGTTTCTCACATCGTTGATGCCCATCTTTCCAAATATTCTCACATTCAAGTTCTAATTGAGATATCAATTTGTCAATATGATGATGACCTGCCGACCGAGGAAAAGTGTGGCGAAGATGATCAACAGCCATTTTTAACTAAAATTTAGAAATAAAATAAAATTTACAAAAAAATATAAACTGAATATTCATGTTCAATTTTGGAAAAGACAGGATCCCCACCACCAGTCATTTTTGGTTTAAGTGAAAGTTGATTGTTGTAAATGACACGAGATGAGCTAATTGCAGATTCCACAAGACTATTTTAAAATTAATTTGGTAAATAAAGAAGCCTCTTGAACCCACGTTTATTGTTATTTTATATAAGAGCCGATACCATGAAACAAAAAAGCGGAATATGATAGGAATATAAATTGACCTTTGCTTCGCTTAATCGCTTAATCTGTGGATGAAATTAGCATGGGATAAGAGGGGCCGGTGGGCAAATAACATTGAAACTCCCACATTGATGGTGAATTCTCTATTAAATCCCCCAAAAATCCTCTAAACCCTAGATTAAATCCCCTAAAATCACTGTCAAATCCCTTAAAATCCCTCTATTAGCCCATTCCCGCGTTAAAATAATATTTTTAAATTTAAAATTAATTTTAAAAAATCCAAAAAATCTAAATAAAAAATAAAAACCTATTAATTGATTCAATTTCTGGTGAAATAGTAACTTTTAAATCAAAATTTTCTCCATTTTTTTCTTCATAAATACAACGTCTCAAGAGTTTTGCTGCCTCAATAAATTGACCAAGTGTAGGTAAAGGTGTATTTTGTAGTTTATTTGAAGTTATGTCTCTACGTAATTTATTTATAGCTTTGTAAAGAAAAAATGGAAAATTGTAGTCGGAAGAGTTTTCGAGTTCTAGAAATAAAATGGTTTTGGAATTTAATGACTCGTATGATATATTTATCCAAGAGAATTTTTACAAAAAAATATGTAATTTTCCGAGAAAATGCCAGCCTTAATAAGAAATAAAGGATTTTACAAAAGTATTCTATATTTTAATTTCTCAAAGAAAATCATTACTTTTCGGAATGATTTTTAGTGTATTCTCACCAGGGGTGGGTGAGAAACACAATATGTAGTAAGTCGAAGGTCCTCTATCGAATGGTACCAAAAAAAGTACCAAATGCGCACTTACAGTGAAAGATGATTCCTTGTTAGTCTTGTATCTCGTTTTATCTCGTTCTCGTATTTTTTTGAGAATCTCGTATTTCGTAAATCTCGTATTTTGTGGGAATAGGTCTACTCCTGATTCTCATGACTATTTTCTCTCAAATAATATGTTAAATTTCCCAAAAAGTCAAAAAAAATATTTTTCCAAATATTTAAAAAAAGCAGCTAGTATTTTAAATAAAACCTTTCTTATCCATTTTTGACGGTTCAGTAATTTGATTTATTAAACGAAGAATTTCTTCTGAATTAATACAATTTCCATTTCCTAAATTACCACTTTTATTACTGCAAACTTCATCTTCTCCCCCAGCCAATTGCCCCAAAGACCCAAATAAAGCTTCAGCCAATTCGTTGTTAACATCGACAGGTATTTCTGACTGATTGAAACAATAAACAAAAGGAGTGCCAGAAGAAATGGTTATTTGGGCGAAGGAAGTATTTGGGCTTAAAAACGAATAAAAATAATTTTTAAATAATCTAAAAATTACTGTTTAATGTCCACAAGTCCGTGTTGTTTCAACAAATTAGCAATTTGTGTTTCCAGACATTTTTCCATTTTTTCAAGAAGTTCCTTCTTTAAAAAAATAAAATTATAAATATTTCGTGAAAAATTAAAAAAAAACCTTTTTTGTAGCATTTAAATCGCTACGTAATGGATTTCGATGAAAACAAAAAAGTAAACGAGGAGAAGCTCCAATTCTGCAAGTATTAACAAAAGAAGAAGAAAATTTTGTTGATAATTCAGTTTCTGGGATTGAAGAAAAAGAAGAACGAATACTTCGGGAAATGGATGATCTAAAAATAAAAGGGAAATAAAAATTAGAGTTCGAACACGGGCCAGCCTGGGGCAAGGTTTTTCGAGCCCTGTAGCCAAAAAAATCCGGTTCCTAATTTTGGAGGTTTTACCCCCGAAAACCCGGCGCGGGTTAAAAAAACGACTTGGAAGAAAAAAGGCCGGATAACGGGCCCAGTAAAGTGAAAAGTTCGAACTCTAATAGAAATAAAAACGGAAATTCTGATTTTAAGTAAACTTAAAAATTAAGTTGATTTAAAAAATTCGTTATTTTATAGAAATTGTTAAAAAATGCTCTTTTAAACATTTTTTAAAAATATAAATTTTAATTTATGTTTAATTTACAAAATTAACCTCAATTTATTTAATCGCTTTAATAAACAAATCCACTCCAAATCAAACCGACATCCTTGTTCAATAAATAAAAGAGCATGACAAAGTGGAAAAATCTGAGCAAGTGCAAATAATTGTTCTCGATCGATGAAAGACATTTTTTCGAAAAATGACTTAAATTTAAAATTTATTCAAAAATTTATTTAAATTTCAATGTTTAATAAAAATTCTAAGTTTTTTCATAAATTATAAAATTAATTTAAATTAAACCTTATTTTTAAAGTTCTCATTAATATTATTAAACAATAAATGTTGGAATTCAATATCATTAAATCCATTTATGATAAGCCAAATTATTGATTCTTCTTTATCAAAATGTATATCTATCTAAAAACAGAGAAAAATATTTTTTTAAATATTTTTAATTTGCGGATTTTGTTAAAGAAATTTAAAAATATTTTTTAAACGAAAAAAAAATTTTTCTTATTAAAAATAATCGTAAAATAAAATAGGTAATTCTTCGGTTTTCGCCCCCTTCTTTTTCTGATCATTTTTCTTCCCTTTCTCACTTATTTTTTTTGAGTAACTATAATAGTTTGAAGACGAAGATTAGACGAGTTACTGCTCGACAAGTTACTCATGAAAAATAAGGGGGAAAGGGAAGGAAAGATGGAAAAATGGTCAGAAAAAGAAGGAAGGGGCGAAAACCAAAGAATTACCATAAAATTATAAAAAAAGGTAATATTTAACCGGACAGACCTCCTATTTTCCTCCCCAATTTTTCCCTATATTTTTGCAAAATGGTCTCCTTTTATGTACTTGTTTTTGGCATGTACTTGCATAAAATTAAATAATCCTTTTTGTTTGATTGTAAGCAAAAATTAAAAAGGTAATTTGGATGGAAAGAAGGAAAAAGTCTGACCATTAGGGGGAAAATATAGGGGGAAAATTGGGAAGGAGGGGGGGAGTGGGGAGGAAAAAGGGGGCCTGTCCGGTTCAAGATTACCCAAAAAAATATTTTAGAAAAATTTTTAAAAATTACCAAAGGAGAACTTTCCATCCGAACATTTTCCGTTTTGTTAACATCATTTAAAAAATTATTTTTGTTCATTCCATCTTCAAAAAATGCTCTCTCACCCAAAAAATCATTTAATAAATCAGCTTTTGTGTTGTCAGCAACTTCCTTTTAAAATTAATTTTTTTTAATTTAATTAAATTTAAAGAAAAACCTTTCCGAGCACAGCAATAATTAAAACAGAAGAATTTAATAATTCTTGGTTATCTGACGTTTGTTGTTGAAAAATAAATTGATCAAAATTGGTTTTAATTGATTCAATCATTTTTTTAAATAATTTAACTAAAAAATTTCTGAAAAAAACAATAATAAAAAAATTTTTTGAATTTAAATTCTAAAGAGAAAATTATGGAGTAAATCAATACAAGTTTTTCTAAAAAAAAATTTCCTACTTGATTTTGTAAGAATATGGGACCAAATGTCACCTTTTAATTTTTTCTATTTTTTTTTTAAATTTTCTTAATTTTCTACTAGTTTGAATTAGAGATCGGAATTTTGAAAAAACCGGGTCCGGGAACCGCGAAACGGGTTCTAAGGTTTACCGGGAGGGACCCGGACCGGAAAAACCGGGAATTCCCGTTTCCGGTTTCATCCCGGTTGCTTCAAAAAAAAACCGGCAAAAGGGACCCGAAAACCGGGAAACAGGTCCCGGACCCGTTCCGATCTCTAGTTTGAATTATTAAAAAAATAAATGAAAAATAAATTTTTCTTGATTAATTTAAAATTTTGAATATAATCGAAAAATTAAGAAATTAAAAGAGGACAGTCTGCATGAAGTCTAAAAAATATTTAAGGGATCCCTGTAATCAGATTCCCGGCTATCGCTGGGCGAAATCTAAAAATAAAAAGCGAAATGCGGAATGTGAAACTTTTCGATCTGAAAAATGTGGAATATGCGAAAGATGCGAAACGCGAAATGCGAAATTAGTCCAGCCCAGTTCCCGGCCCACTCTCAAACGTCAGCACTAAACTAACCCTTATTTTTATTTTTTGACATTTTGTATTTTTTAGTTTTTTTAATTTTTATTGATTTTATATTTTTTATTTTTTTTGTTAATTTTATATTTTATTTTTTGTTAATTCATTTAAGTTATTCGTTAAAGTTTTGCTTTTGCTATTCCGGAAAAAATACAGTAAGTGCTTTTTCGTAATTTTTGAGCGTTGTCAGTAGGTAACGAATTTGCTGAGTTTGAACATGTGCTGGAATTTCACTCATCGACTCCCTTACCCAAATTCGACTAATAAGACAAATTCGATTTGGAAATTAAAAATCTTATGCTTAATCTAAAAACTTGTCTCTTTCGAACTGAGTCAATGGTTTCATATTAAACAAAGTCAATTCCTCGAAGAGACAAATTAGAGATTAGACGTCAAATTTGATATTTTTACTTACCAAACTGGTCAAATTTGGGTTTCATCTTGTAATACCCAAATAGTTTGAAATACCAAACCCCCCAAAAGCCCTCGAAATACCAAACTGGAAAAAACATTATAACATCAAATAAAAACCAAACTGCAACTTCTTCCAGTTATTTATCTATTTACACTCTTGACACTGGGTGGGTTTGTATAAATAATAGGGGATATTGGCCCAACAGAATCTTCGTTGGAAAATTTTTTGTGCTCTACCGAGGGTAGGCCTGGCATGGGCTTTGTTACACGATCGCTGCGTTCTGCGCGAGCGAAGTGAGCTCGCATACCCGGCTTCATCTATAGCGGCAAAAACTTTTTGGCTGTACTTTAGTACGTGGGTCCCGGAGTTAATATACAAATGTTATAGCATTCGAAAGAGCTCCTCGAGCTGAGTCGAATGACACCAGTTTTAGCCCGAGGAAAAATTTTTGGACCGAGATATAGGTCCCCGAAATTTGAAAAAGCATAGGGGGGACCAAGCACTTTTTTGGGGTGAAAAATTCAAAAATGCAAATGATACCTCATTCGAAAGAGCTCCTCGAGCTGAGTCGAATGACACCAAAATCAACGAAATCCGACTTGATTGGACAAAGTTATGATTTTTTATTTTAGCTCCTTACCTATGGCATCTGCGGCGATTTTTGCTGCTACGGAGGCCCCAAATACGTCCAGAGCAAGGGAGATAGGAATAGGTTTATGTTACGAGCCCAGACCCAGCACCCGTAGACTCCCCGCGAGGCGCGTGCCGCAAAACCCCGCGCGAAGCGCGGGGTTTTGCACAAGCGCCTCGCCGACGCTCCATAGGTTTAGGTTTTTTGTTTTTTTGTATCATAACTTTGTCTAATCTTGTTCAATCACGGTGATTTTGGTGTCATTCGACTCAGCTTGTCGAGCTCTTTCGAATGAGGTATAATTCTCATATTCGAATTTTTCACCCCAAAAAAGTGCTTGGTCCGCCCTATGCTTTTTCAAATTTCGGGGACCTATATCTCGGTCCAAAAATTTTTCCTCGGGCTAAAACTGGTGTCATTCGACTCAGCTCGAGGAGCTCTTTCGAATGGTATAACATTTGTAGGTAAAATTCCGTCATATACCCCATGGCCAAAATTAATAAAAAACTATTTTATATTACTTTTTATGCTCTAAAATGTATAGCAAATGTAATTTTAGAGGCGCGCTCTAGAAATTTGCTGAGATATTGGGCTCGAAATGGTCAAAAATCATAAGACTCAAAATGGTCAAAAACGTTAAATTTAAAATACGTTTCGATCGAAATATATTTTATTCGAAAGAGCTCGTCGAGCTAAGTCGAATGACACCAAAATCAACGAAATCCGTCTTGGTTTGACAAAGTTATGATCGTTTCTTTTAGCTCCTTACGTATGGCATCCGTGGAGTTTTTGCTGTTGTGGAAGAAGCTGTGCATTCCCATCTCATTGATGATAGGAATAGGACCATGTTACGAGCCCAGACCCAGCGCCCGTAGACTCCCCGCGAGGCGCGTGCCGCAAAACCCCGCGCGAAGCGCGGGGTTTTGCACAAGCGCCTCGCTGACGACCCATAGGTTTACGTTGTTTATTATTTGTATCGTAACTTTGTACAGACTTGTTAGAACACGTTGAATTTGGTGTCTTTCAATTCGTCTCAACGAGCTCTTTCGAATAAAATATATTTCGATCGAAACGTATTTTAAATTTAACGTTTTTGACCATTTTGAGTCTTATGATTTTTGACCATTTCGAGCCCAATATCTCAGCAAATTTCTAGAGCGCGCCGCTAAAATTACATTTGCTATACATTTTAGAGCATAAAAAGTAATATAAAATAGTTTTTTATTAATTTTGGCCATGGGGTATATGACGGAATTTTTCCCATTTGTATATTAACTCCGGGACCCACGTACTAAAGTGACCCCAACTTTTTATGAGGAAAATCTTTTTACACCGTTCTTTGAACGAGTTTCCCATTTGTTGAAACAACATCTCCAATCGTAGGTATTTCAGTTTGGTATTTTAGAGTCTTTTGGATGTTTGGTATTTCAGGTTTTTTCCACACAGTTTAGTCTCTATTGTCTTGTGTCATATTCAAATGATAAATATTTGAAATTTTAAAGTTGTTCCATGTTGATTTTATTGAGACCATAAGTCTTGGTATACGCTTTTGAAGTAACTTTCAGACACTCAATTATCTCTTGACAACCCTCAAAAATATGGAAAGAGTTCCTACTAATTTTTTTGGTAATATTCAATTTCGTTCCCCCCTCCTCTTTTCCTTCCTCAAAGTATTACAAAATGGTCAGTCAATCTTAAGTTATAGAACTCGTAAAGCTGTGTCGAATGACACCAAAATCGAAAAAAATCCGACTTGATTTGACCAAAATATAGACCCTTGAAAATTGAACACCCATAGGGGCGAAAAACCATAAGGACGTAAATTTATACGAATAATAGCTCATTCGAAAGAGCTCGTCGAGTTGAGTCGAATGACACCAAAATCAACGTGATTGGACAAGATTTGACAAAGTTATGACATAAGTCGCCGACTCCGTTAGGTCTAATTAGGTCATAACTTTGTCAAACCATGTCTAACCGCGTTGATTTATATGTCATTCGACTCAGCTCGAAGAGCTCTTTCGAATGAGCTATCATTTGGATAAAAATTTTTTAGTCCAAAAAATCGCCCCTATGGTTGTTCAATTTTCAGGGGTCTGTATCCCGGTCAAATCAGGTCCGATTTTTTCGATTTTGGTGTCATTCGACACAGCTCGACGAGTTCTATAACTTAAGATTGACTGACCATTTTGTAATACTTTGAGGAAGGAAAAAAAGAGGGGGGGAACGAAATTGAATATTACCATTTTTTTCTGAATTAGTAAAAGCCACATTTACCAATTTTTTAGTTAGTATATTTTACATTTTTTTCAAAATTGTAATAATGGCTTATTACAGAAAAAGAACAACTAAAAAGAAAGTAAATATTTTTGTTTTTAATAAAATTAATTTTTAAAAATTTTTTTATCTTTAAACTAGGGTTGTTCACTACCGGTTATTAACCGGTACCCCGGTTTTCGGTTAATCCAAATTTTAAAAACCCGGTTTTCGGTTTTGAGTTTTAGACAAATACCGGTTTTATTTTGGGGGAATTTTTAATAAAATCACGCATTTTCACAAATTTCCGGTTTTCGGTTTAAAATTTTCTAAAAACGGTTAATTATTGGCAAAAAATTTCAAAAATTCTGTTTTAAAACCGGTCAAGAACAACCCTACTTTAAACTGAATTATCTATGGACTAACTTATGTCTTAAAATTTCTCTTCATTTTCAAACTTTTTTTTTATTAGGACAATCAATTAGATGACGATTTAATTGCGCTCGACAACGTAGATTTAAATGCATGTTGGCGTATTTACAATTTGAACGAATTTGGCTGTGACGCTCATATTCCACCAAATCCAAAGTATTTTTAAGATTTTTAAGTTGGATGGTTTCTTTTTGGCTTTAGTATGGTTTCAGATTTTGAATTTCCTTATTTACTCCTTCGAATATATTTATAAGTCTAATTCTCTTAAATTCAGAACACGAAATTGCCGTCTCAATCCATTCTGTATATACCGCCTTGGATTGGAAAAGTTTGACAAATGTTTACAAACCCAAAAGGAAGAAGCTTCTAGCAGCAATTCTGAGCCTTTAATTCGTCGCAATCCAAATGTGCAACCTTGTGGCTTAGTTAATTATGGAAATTTTTGTTATGTCAATAGTTTTTTACAGGTTTGTTTAAATTATTTTGCTAGCTCTTTTATTAATTTTTTAAAGATTTGGTTCAACAATTTACGATTCCGTCAATGTGTTTATGA